ATTGTCTTCAGTATTGTAATGCCCCCAAATCACAGCTTTGCTTTTTGCAATACCGTTTTGCTTTTTGCATATACAAAATAAAGACAAAAGGCATAAGTACTTGTGGGATTAGGAAGGCACAAAGCAATTGCTTTGAAATTTGTAAGATCAAACCAGTCTGACCTAGAAGGTGATTTTAAGGGTTAATTAGTTCAAATTTGCAGTGTCTGGCACAGCAACTGTCCCATCCAGAATAACTGATAAAATATACTTGACACAAATGTGTCAACTATGCAGACCTGATATTTTCCAAGACGTTCTAGTTTATTTTTCTATTATTTATTTGGATCTTACGAGACTTAATAAAGTGTTTCTTTTATTGTTTGAGTATCAATATTTTATCATGTCTTTTCTCAATAAATACAAATTGGTGCATTTGTATTTATTGTGCTTCTAATGTGCAAACATCTTTAAAAATGCAAATGGTTAAAGGAAAAATTATATGGCCCCTGTTTATCAAGGAAAAAAATAAAATTGGATGGTTCTCAGGCCATTTGTCAGGAATATATGAAATATTGAAAATGATCGATGCTTCATATATGTTTACTTTAGATCGAAATGAAACTTTAATGGTGCTGTTTATAATACAACCCAATCAAAATTTCAGTGCTTTTGTTTTTAATGTTTCCAGTTAGAACTTTTGAAAAACTGACATGGTGGGTAGTAACTGTAAAGTCATCTTGCTGTGGAAATGCTATTCAACTGGGGAATAAGACTGTTACCGTCTGTGTACGGCTGGTCTACACTAGAGACTGTGAACTTCCTGCCCCGTTGTTGACGAGAGCATGGTAAAGGAAAACCTCCATGGAATGCTGTTTTCCTGGGAAAGGGGCAGTGTGAGGCAGACATGGATGTCTAAATTGAGACAGTTGAGTTCAGAGCCTTTGAAAAAATCTAAACTAATGTTGACTTCAAGGCTTCAGGCTCTTATCAGTGGCCATGACTTTCTACTTTCTTCATGGGTATTTCCATTCATTGGTAGTTCTCAGCCTTTTGCTAAAACTGGGACATTGTGCTTCAGTGTGACAGAGTACATGCCAGTGTGTGGTTGTATGTTAGAGATTGTTGTCCTGTGCTAGTCAACTAAGAATATGTATGTATGTATGTATGTATATAGCATGTATGTATATATGTGTGTTTACTATATATGTATATATATAAACAATATTAGATACTTTTCCCTTTTTTGCTTCAGAAAAACTCTATATGGTGAACTTTGTTAATCTTCCCATTATATAAACGAAATCCTAAAATGTTACAGAGACTACACATTTTGTTCAAGTCCGCACATTTAAGGAAGCACAGAAACTAGAAATCAAAATGTAACCTTTCTAATTTATAAGGTCATATATGAAACTAATACCCATCTTCTTGTTCACTAAACATGAAAGAGGCAAGCGTGATGAAAAGCCAAATACATGGTTAATAACAAGACTGCTTTTGTGCCCCTTTTAGATGACAGTTACATGCAAACAGTAACATCAGCAAATATTTTTAAACTATAAATTTATTTGTCAGAACTTGGTAGGGCTATATCTGGGGTGATCATGGCAGCATTTCATAGAAATGGATACACTTTCTGTAAATGAAATATAAAACAATGTGTAAGTAGGATGCTGGGTTGGGCTGGTGAGATGGCTTAGCAGGTAAAGGTGCTGCCCCCAAGGCTACAATCTGAATTTGATCCCTGGGGCCCAGATGATAGAGGGTAAAGGCTAACTTCCATGGTTGTTCTTTGACCTCTATACGTGTGTTATAGCTTATATACCACCCTACTCAGCAAGTAAAATGTTATAAAACCTTGTATGAATGACTTTGCCGAAGGATGAGCTACCTTTTGGAAAATCCTAATAAGAAATTGGAGCTGAAAACAGCCAGCACCAAGAAGCCAAAGCTGTTATGTCTGTGATGTTTTGTGGCTGGCAGAGTATTTATTCTCAGAGGTAATATTTGTAAATTGCATCTTGCCCATTCAGTGGCGGTGAGCTTATGATGGAGAGTGGGTGGAGAGGACAACCTATAATTCAGGATGGTTGGGAAGCTGGTTGCCTAGGAAACTGAGATGAACAGCAGAATGCCCACCAAAACCAACTGTCAACAAGAGGGGATTTTCTGTTCTGATTTGAGTGACTTTTCTAATTTATTCTCTGGGTCTCCTGTGGTATCCAATTAGGACTATTTACCCTCAATGGGCAGAGCATGCCAAAGTCACCCACATTAGCTAGGAGAGGGTACAAAGCTTTGCATAAGCCATTGTGCTGACTAAATATTTGGAAGGAAGTTGATGCTGCAATTAAAATGGGTTTATAAGATTGTGGTAAATATGAGGCTATTTTAAATATTTAATATAAGGCATATAAAATTTTAATACTGTTTCTGTGTGTACACAGTGTACATGCGTGGGTGCATTGCAGGCTTGTATGCCCATGCTCACACATGCGGAGGTTGGAGGAAGATGTAAGGTGTTTTCTTTTAGCTACCTCCACTGTCTACATTGGCTCTTATATTCACCATCAGAGCTGGCCTGGCTGAACCTAGAGCTCCCAAGATCCACCCGTCTCTGCCCACCAGTGCTTAAATTACAGAGGTTTAGCCACACTGGCTTTGACTCAAAGTCCTCTGGCTTGCACAGCAAGCACTCTTGACCACTGAGCCGTCTCTTCAGAAGCACATAAGGGCAACTCTTGTTCATGACTTAGCTGCACCTAAATTGATGGTCACAAGACTTACTTTTGTCTCTAACATGGAAGTTTTATTTGCTATAATCCACTATTCTCTCCACTCTTACGATATTTACATGAGATACTTCAGTGTACAGTAATTATCTTCAAGAATAACACTTAGAAGTCCATAAATATTTGATGAAAATGGTATCTAATTTCTCAATACTTTAAAAATATAGACATTTAATTTTTAATTTTAAATATATTATCTATGTCCATACATATTTTATAGCTATATATATTTAATAAGATCCCAACATATGAAATTTCAGTACAGAGCCTATGACCAGGGTAATTTCTTTTAGCTAAATTTATAATTAGATGGAATCTATCTGTAGTTTCCCGTCTTACCAACGCTACCTACTCCCCCTCTCCATACCTCTCCACCCATGGCAAGGTATGTGACCTGTGTGCTCAGAATCATGAACACTTACAAATATGCTGGTGAATCCATGTCTAAACTAATAACAGAGCTTATGGCCCAGTCTCAGACTCATGGGCTGCTCTTCTCTGCTGATTTCTATAGCCCAACATTTCCCAGTCTGTATTCAGAGTTGTCTGTCCTTTCTGTCCTCTCATCCTTAGTGAGTTCCAGCCTGATTTGTCCTTGGTTCCCTGTCTTTTCAACTTTCATCCTTCTAGATTCGATTTTTCTCCTCGGTGCCGGAAACTGTTCACAAATGATCCATGCAACAGAGTACAGTCCTGTGTCACCCAGATGGATTAGTAGTTGTTTCCTGGTTTTGTCTAATTTGTCTCTACAGAACAACTTGATATTTTTCTCAGGTAACATAGGATATGTGAGAAGGGAATACTTTAGTTTTATTCGGCTGACATTAGCTGCTGAGGTCTACACCTTCTCCAACAAGGACAGATTGCCTCCCTAGAGCTATTTCTTTGACTCTTCACTGTCAGAGTCAAGTTAATAGTCAGACAATAGTGTTCTGTGCAGAGCCCTTAGAATTTATAATACAGAGGAGAATATTGGAAGTCTTGTGGTTTGCTGGATGTATGACTCCCCACTGATGTGATAGACTTCAGACAAGGGCAGCTTCTTTGTCCTGGTTGACTCCCAGTGCCACTGACATTCTATTCTTCTGGTCAATGATAAATTGATCCGATTAGAACATTGACAGTTATCTCTGCTTGACAAGATGGCATACTCTCGTAACACCAGGATGAGAGGTTATTCTAGAGCTAAACCTCTCCACGTTTTCAGCAGACAGGATAAAAAAGGAGATGGCAGTAAGAACTCAGTGGTTTGGAGCTCTTCCTTCTTCTCCACTCTGCCCCACAGTCTCCTCCACTAAGTCTTCATAGATCTCTGGCCTATATTCAAATGACTGCTGTTTGACCAGGCTCTTGCTCCTTCTCCTCTATGGAAAGGAAGGTAGTTTGGTAATGGGTCAATCATTGGGATTTTGTGACTTGAAGTTCTTTTGGGAACAAACCAGAAGGCTCCATTCCTGATCAATTGTGACTGATGTGCCTGATGCTGCCTGGGCTGTGTCTTCCACACTCAGCTGAGGGTGCTCCAGCAAAGGAAGATGTATTTTACTGTGAAGGGTATTATTTACCTAGCAGGGGACTTGTCAAGGGCAAGGGCATATCCAGCATCGGCTCAGATCATAGATTTCAGTGACTAATATTCTTTGTTCCCCACTTCAGGAGTGAAATCCCAAAATGGTCCTAGGAGAGTTACAATCCTGACAGCTGCTTAGAGGTGGTGTCTGACCTAAATCCCAGGAGAGATGTTTGTGGGGAGAAACCAAACAAAAAGAAGAGAATGGGGTTATTGTAGAGAAAGACAGAAGGGCGGTTGTTTGCAGCTCACTCAGGTGTGTTGTGAAGGTCATTGCCCCATGTCAGCATTACCAGAGCAACTCCACCATTTAGAAAGCACAGTGAGATCACACAGTATGTGCCTGTGTACACACACACACACACACACACACACACACACACACAGAGACATTATGGTTCCACCTTCTGGTCTCCCAGAACAGCGGTTTCTGTGGGCGATAGGATGAGACCAGATGATCTTGCAAGAAGACTCGTTTTCACAGACCTACTACCAACATTGATGGAGGAGGCCTGTTAACTCAGTACTGGAAGCCACTTTTTAAAGTATTCTTAGGAAATTGTGTGATTATAGGAATTCCAGTGCTTCTTTTCTTCCAAAACTGGACAACAGGTCAAACTCCAGCAGCAACAGTAACTACTCCTGCCCTGGCTGCCATGGAGTTTGTTGAGAGAACTTACCTTGTGAATGACCAAGCCACCAAGATGTACACCTTCACTCTAGACAGGTAATAAGGTACTTATGTCTGTATTGCCATTTTTTCTGTGGCTCGAGTACACAGTAAGGTAACATATATTCTTGCTTTAGAATGGAAAACTTCTGCTTTGCAAACTGGGATCATTTTGAAGCATCTCAGGAATGGCTGACTCATTTGTGCAATTCAGATCCTGAGACATACTGTAGTCTGTATAGCTAGTTTGACTCCTTGAACATGATAAGTTCATAAAAGAAATATCTGTTAAGGCATTTTTCTCTTGCGGTTTTTAATTACAGAAATATTGCAAGGACAATCTCATTGTTTACTGTTGCTTTCTTCAAATTTTCCTACTTTGAAGTTAGAGAATAAACTGTCAAAATTATATGTAGGAAAAAAAGTAATACTTTTCAATGATGGCTCAAAACGAGGGCTATATTCATCTCAAGATTAACTAATGAATGGATTATTTTATGTCAGTAGATGTACCTGTAACAAATGTAGCTGAATTTAATGTTTTCCATAGTTCCAGGTTTTTTTAAATGTCTTTGATGGTGTCATGTGTAATATCATCTTTGATTTTCATTTTAAACAATTATTGATTGAACACATCTATCTTATGTAGTGTATATCTAATTGAAAAGAAAATATTTCTAGTCCTAGATGTGTGTTTATTTGGAACTAAGAATTGTGTAGAAGAATGATTACAGGATATGTTGGGGATATTTAATGAGAATTTTAAGAGAAAACATCAAGAGAAGCTATGGTTTACCAGGGTTTGAGGATGAAGCAAATAACTCCAGAAATGACAGAATTAGGACTCAACAAGACAAAATAGAATCACAGTTGATTTAAGGGAAATCTATGTAGAAAGCCAGGAAATGGGAGATTGGGATGTAGCTCAAAAATAGTGTGTGTCTAGCAAAAGGTCCTGGGTTCAATTCCAAGCCCTGCAACAACAACAACAACAACAACAACAACAACAAAGAGTGAGGGGAATTTTGATCATAATGAGATAATTGCAAACTAAAGAAAGATATATGAAAGGAAGAGAGCTTGGGAGATCACACTAATGAGAAGTTAAGTGGATAAGTGAAAACTTGTAATAGACTCAGGTAGAGCCAATTTTAAGAGAAAAATGTACTTATTAATAATATATGTAATGTTTTCATTTATTTTGTAGAACCAAATTAATCATCTAAAAACAATGTTATGTTCGATCCCATCAAATATATTAAAACTGCAAAGAGGACTTTCCCTAAAGAGTATTTATAACTTGGCTTTACAAATGAATAGTATACAGAATGGACATTTTCTTAGAATTATTTTCTTAGAAAATTTGAGGTCAGTTATTGATCTTATAATTATTAAAAACAAAGCCTCAAATGAAGTCAGGCAAAAACCTTGGACAGCATGTTGTTAGCACTAGGAATACTGCTACATTTTCGAAATAGCAATAATTCCTATGGGCTGGAGAGATGGCTCAGCCGTTAAAGGCTAGGCTCACAACCAAAAATAGTTATGGAATTCTGAAATACAAATTGCCGACAGTTTATAGCAATGGTCTTGTTCACCTCATAGGGTGAACTTGGTATGGTTTTCAAGGCATAGTTCTTCCAATTGCCATGAAATCATTCAGTGTTTTCTTTTCACATATAAAGATTAAATCTTAAACAGGTTTTTTTAGGATACTGATCTCTCCATTTTCCTCTGAAGAAAATGAATGCCAAAAACAGGGCATGCCTTTGTGAGGTCAGATGGCTGAAAGAACACTGAGAGGATCCATGCCCCTAGTCGGTCAGTTTAGTGTCTCTCCTTCTCCTGCACACACACTCTATGGAGCCTCTAAACCTAACTTAATTGCTCCAGAGATAATCTGCATCGTGCAGAGCTCTTAGTCCTTCGCCACCTCTTCCGACCCCCATATCCAGGCATTTTCTTTCATTTCTGAGCTTTGTCTCTTGACAGTCTTTCTCCTCTCCCTCTCCAAGGTTTCCTTTCACCTGCCACGAGCTTTCTATTGAGATTGTTATTTGCTGCTGAGATACTGAATCTTGAAGGAAACCTTGTTGGTTTGCAACGAGCTACGCGCACAGTTGGTGGCTGCTAGCACACAGTTCTGTGAGAGGAAACACAGGCATGACTTTTCTTGTGGTTTGCTCAGGAGCCCATTTCCGCCTGGTGTCTAGTCTAGGAGCTCCAAGGCGCCTTTCCTCACATGCCTGGGGTTTTCAGGCTGACTTTTGGCTCGAGTCTTTGTTCTTTTTTCTCCCTGTTTACATCAGCCTGAGAGACTCTTGACCTGGTAGTTCAGGACGGAAAAAGTGCAAGACTGGGAGCGGATGGCTGTCACATAGTCCAAGCCCAAAGCAGAATCACTGTTGCCATGTCAACAGGCTAGAGCAAGTCTCAAGGTGTAGGTTTTTATCATGACAGGTATTTCCAGGTGTCATCTTTATACATACTCCACCATAGGACAAAGGAACATTTGTCAGTGCCACGGTCACTAGTGTGTCCCCTTTCTTTCTTCTGGACTTTTTGTTCCATGTTATAAGAGCAGTGGAGCCTTTAATCCTCGCACTTGGGAGGCAGAGGCAGGTGAATTTCTGATTTCAGGGTCAGCCTGGTCTACAGAGTGTGTTTCAGGACAGCCAGGGCTACACGGGGAAACCCTGTCTCAAAACCAAACCAAACTAAACCAAACCAAACCAAACCAAACCAAACCAAACCAAACCAAACCAAACCAAATAAACACAAAGAAGGGCAGTGGAAGCAAGAACAGGGATAGATGGCAGAGATGAACTGCTAAAGTCTTTTCAAGAGTTTGTGTGTGAGTGTGTGTGTGTGTGTGGGGTGGTGTGTGTGTGTGTGTGTGTGTGTGTGTGTGTGTGTCTGTGTGTGCTGATGTGTGTATGTATTGGTGTGTGTATAGGTGTGTGTCTGTGTGTGCTGATGTTGTTTCTGTGTGTCTGTGTGTATGTGTGTATGTGTGTATGTGTGTATGCTGGTGTGTGTATGTGTGTGTGTCTGTGTGTATATGTGGGCATATATATGTGTATGTATTGTATATGTGTGTGTATGCATGTATATATATGTGTGTATGTTTGTGTGTCTGTGTTTGCTGATGTGTGTGTCTGTATGTGTGTCTATATGTGTGTATATATGTGTATGCTGGTGTGTATATGTGTGTGTGTCTGTGTGTATACATGTATATGTATATGTTTGTGTATATGTGTGTGCTGATATGTGTGTATTGTATATGTGTATGCATGTATATATGTGTGCTGATGTGTGTATATATGTGTATGCTTATGTGTGTGCATCTATGTGTGTATCTCTGTGTGTATGTATATGTATACATGTATGCTGATGAGTGTGTGTATGTGTATATATGCATTTGTGTGTGTATTTATGTAATTTTTTGTATGTATGTGTGTGTATGTGTGTATGCTGTTGTGTGTGTATCTATGTGTATATTTGTGTATCTATGTGTGTGCATGTATATGTATATATGTGTGCTGATGAGTGTGTGTATGTGTATGTATATAATTTTTTGTGTAAGTATGTGTGTATGTATGTGTGTATGCATGTGTATGTATGCATGTGTATATATATGTGTGTGTGTGTATGTATGTGTGTATGTATGTGTATAAATGTGTGTGTATGTATGTATGTATGTGTATATATATGTGTGTGTTCGATGAGTGTGTGTGTATGTGTGTGTATGTATGAGTATATATTGTGTATGTATGTGTATATATGTGCGTGTGTAGTGTGTGTGTATGTATATGTATATATGTGTGCTGATGAGTGTGTGCCTGTGTACGCATGCTGATTTGTACACATGTGGAGGGCATCCCTCATTTCCCCTGGCCTGGAACTTGACACGTAGGTTAGGCTGGCCAGTCAGTGAGCCCCAGAGACCCTTGTGTCTCTGCTTACCCAGCCCTGGGATTGCAAGCACGTGCTACACAACTGATTTTTTTTACAGCTTCTGAGGACCAAACTCGGGCTCTTTGCCCTGCAGTCGTTTTACTTACTGAACTTTCTCTCCAGCGCTAACAAACACTTAACTGGCGAGTTTGTTTTTCCTATCTGTGGAGTGGTCGTAAGGGCACATGCAGAAAATGGAAATCAACGTGCACACAGCCCTGCTGTGTCTCAGCAAGGAGTGGGAGACTGGCTATTTTCAAGCAGAAAAACATTGATGACAACAACAGAATTCTTTTTTCTCCTGGTGAGAAATGAGGACAGAGCTTGATGCTTCATGAGCCATAGACGAGCAAAACCAGCCAGAGATGTCTGAAGTATGAACCACTTCTGGACTGAAGCAAAGCACAGACTGACACCAGACAGTAACCCTGCCAGGAGGTGTGTGACGAGTTCAAAGTTCATATTCCCCATGCCCCACATTAACGGGTTGACACTTGAAGGCCTCTAAGAATGTAACCAAGTTTAAATGTTGTTACAGGAATAGGTGTTACGTGTGACAAGCCACAGAGTTCCTTTTCTCCTTCTTTGTGTGTACAACGAGGAAAAGCTGTGAGCAGATGTATAAGGCAGCCATAACTAAGCCAGAAAGAATGTGTCTGATGCAGAAATTTACTGGCAAACTGACCAGGAAGTTCTAAACCCCAGATCTTCGAGAAGATAAATTTCTGTTGCGTTAAGTTGCCCATGCTGTGATGTTTCTTGAAGTTCAAGCAGACTAATGCAAGCCCCAAATTTAGTTAAACCACCTGCATCGTGGGATAGTTTGTATCTTTGAGAATTTTTGGAAACGGCAGAGCAATTGGGAGGCAATTGAAGAGCCCAAACTCTGGGTGAGAAGCTGGTATAGATAGAACTATACTTACTAGTTAGGGCATGGAAAGAGACGGACAAAGAAAGGGCAACTAAAATGACCACCAAACCTGGAGGGTGGGGGCAGGGTAAAGACACACGAGTACAAAAATGGGTCTCCTCAAGGAACACACAGGGTTCACAGGCGTGGAAAACTAGAGGAATTGGATGTTGCTAAACTAGATAATCAAAGTCACCAAATAAATAAAAAAAAAAAAAGGAGCCGGGCGTTAGTGGCGTACACCTTTAATCCCAGCACTCGGGAGGCAGAGCACTCTGTGAGTTCGAGACCAGCCTGGTCTCCAGAGCGAGTGCCAGGATAGGCTCCAAAGCTACACAGAGAAACCCTGTCTCGAAAAAGAAAGAAAGAAAGAAAGGAAGAAAGAAAGAAAGAAAGAAGGAAGGAAAAACCTACAAAAAAATCCACGTAGGATCAGTATCTAGCATCGTCATAGTGCATATTCTAAATATCTTGGTTTTCAACAAAATCACGAGTCACAAAGAAAAGGGAAAAAAATGTATAAATAGTAAAAAAAAAAAATCCTTTAATAGGAAGTGCCTTTAAAAGTGTTGGCCTTAAAATTCAAACATTTTAATAGCAGCTACTATAATATATCAAAAGAACCAGATATAATTATGTTTAAAGAATTCATGAGAAACTGGATGGCAATCCACAAATAGTGGATACTAATAAAGAAAGAAATGATAACATCAAAAGGTAACTTTTAGGGTGGAAAGGCATAATAAGTAAAATAAAAAATACATCCCTGGAAGGACCTAGTAACAGATCCTTGATATTGACATGAGCTGACACAACAAAAGTTCAGTGTTCTGGACAATAAAGCAATAATTATCATGTACTTACTATAATGGAAAGAAGGAAAAAAGTTAAAGGAAAATGAACAGAGCATTAGAGAAAGTGGCACATTGGCAAATTCACTAATTTATATGTAATAGTGGTACCAGAAAGAGAGAGCAAATTTAATATAAATTAAAGAAAGCAATGCTCCCCAAATTGGGTGTATATTAGTTTGTACTTCCTTTATACTTAGTTGTTGGGAGACTTTGATGGTCCAAGGTTGCAGTGTATCCTGGCCTGGCAGCTCTCTCCAAAGCTTGATAAAATGTGGGACTTCCTCCCTAGCAAGACTTCCTGCTCTCGACCTGCCCTTATCTGGAGAACGTCTCTAGGCCTGAAGGACTGACCTTATCTGAAAGCTGTCTCTAAGCCTGGATGCCTGACTTATCTCTAGGGCGACCCTTGGCACAGTTTCCTGTTGGAAGCCTTTCCCCATGCTATACATATGGTAACTAAGACATATACTAGGACCTTTTCTATAGAACTTGGCTGCCACATACACAAAGGCTTAATGATAGGAGCCTGCCACTTAATGAAAATGAGGGTGTATGCCCAGGATCCCCAATCCTATATATTTCTTATACTCTGGAATAAAGTTGAGCTGATTCACGGAAGTCATATCCACAGCCATCTGAACTCTGTTCTCTGATTCTTCTCCCTCCATCCTCATGAGCCGGTGGCCAATGATCCCAAGGAATGAAGGAGAACCATACTCAGTGAAATATAAGGAGAAGCAAGCAGCAGGGTGGGGTGGCGCATGCCTTTAATACCAGCACTTGGGAGACAGAGGGAGGTGACTCTATGTGCTTAAATAGTGAGTTCTGAGATATACAGGGCGACAGAGAGAGAGACTCTGTCTCAAAACACCCCAAATTAATTGATTAACCAATTAATTAATGAATGAAAAAAGAAGAAACAAGCAAACCTATTTATAACCTGACATTTCATACTAAAAGATTTATTTTACCTTTGTGTGTGCACACACATACGGATGCACACATGTACACTTGAGCACACATGCCTAGAGAGTCCAGAATTGTAAGCTGCCTGACTTGGTAGCTAGTTGTGAGCCCTCATGTATGTGCTCCGAGCTAAAACCCAGTTCTTCTGAAAAAGCCCTAAGCACTCACTCCCCAAGCCATCTCCCCAGCCCCAAAAGAATCGCCTGACACTGCTCAAAATGGAATGTCATCATTATGAGAGAGGTCAACATTGCACTGTGTATTCTAGCCAGAACTTTTATGCAAGAAAACAAAATGAGTGATATCAGATTAGAAAGGACAAACAAACACTCCTTTCGAAAATGATAATATATTTTACATATAAAAAATGTCAATCAGAAAACACTTGGTTATTCCCATAATAGTTATGCCGGTATTACACTGGAGAGAATATTTGTCTGTTCATCTAGGTAACTCACACACACACACACAAAGAAGACAAAAGGAGGAGAAGGAAGAAGGGCTTCAGGAGAGAGAGGATAACGTAGGGTGAAAACAACTGAAATTCATTATGTGCATGTATGAAACCACCAGAGAATAAAAACACAGAAAAAGGTAAATACGAAGTTAAATTCACAACATAGGATACCAGTTTAAATACACAATCAGAGTAATTGGATGGGTCAATTGTCTTCCAACAAGGTTTTTTTCAATAAATGTTATTGGGACAACTAAATAGTCACATGCAGGAGAATTAATTTGTCTATATTTCTGACACCATACTAAAAAACTTCATGAAAATGGATCTTAGGCATTAAGGTAGGTGCTAAAATTATACAGCTATAAATCTTCCAAAAGAAAACACAGGCATAAACCTATGACTCTTGGATTAGGCATGCTTTCTTGATAAAATGCTTAAAACACAAATGTTAAAGTTGTGTAAATTTTAAAACCCCAAAAGAAAATATTTTGTTCTTCAAGCAATAGAATGGAAACAATGCCCACACTGCACCAAGTTGTTGTTGTGGCTGTGTGTGTGTGTGTGTGTGTGTGTGTGTGTGTAGAATTTGTTTTATTCTCAGCTCTAGGAGGCAGAATGGTTGTGTTTAGACAGCCAAATGTAATGAGGTCTAAGATAATAGTCTTCTGGTTATAGTAGATGGGTCTCACTTGAAATTGGCTTACCTGCAGACTCTTGGGTCAGTTATGAGAGGGAATATTAAATTAGTTTTCTCATTTCTGTAACAAACACCCAACAAAAGCAGCTGAAGGGAGGAAAGATACATTTGTGGTCATGGTTTTGAGAGATTCCAGTCTATCATGCCATGGCAGAGTAGCTCCCTTGTGATGGGAGCATGCACCTGGGCCTCTCACAACTTAGCTTTACCAGGAATTAGAGAGTAAGAGATGAAAATCAAGGAGGAGTTAGACAACCCATAGGCTGGTCCTAGAGCCCACTTCTGCAGCCAAATCCCATACTTTAAACTCCCAGAACAGATACAGAGGCTGAAGACCCAGAGTTGAAACACATGAGTTACCAATACGCAGCCAGGTAAAGATTAGGGTATGTTTATTAGGGAGCTGCCTTACTTTACAGAGCAACCTAGCCAGCTGGCAGGAAACGTAGTAAGCAGAGCAAGCCCATGAAGCAGGAAAAAAGAAGGGGCTCCACATGTGTGCCCCTCACTCTTAAACCTCTCTCAAGTCATCCTGCCCATGCCCTAGGGGGTGTGGCCAGGTACACCTGTAACCAGCCCCAGGAGGCGTGGTTAAGGTGTCCCCTACACATGAGCTCCTTGGGGTGGGGGGGGAGCTTCAGAGTGAAGCCATGACAGATAACTTCTCCACTTATGCATGAACACCAATGAGCATAGCCTGATACCCTCTGACAACCCTTCCAGGCCAGGAGGAAACTCAGTCCGGCCATAAGGATAGCTGAAGGAGAGAAAAAGCTCTGGAGCCCTGTCCAAATAGGTTCCTCTAGGTGTTTTCAGTAGCAGAACCATTCTCATGCATTATCTTTTCAATATAATTAATGTTTTCTGTACATACAACTCAAAACATTCTAATCAATATTGACTTTCAATATATAAAAATGTGTATTTATATGCTGCAACACTAACCTATACGATATCAATAATTGTGTTTTGGGGATATGTGTACAGTGCTTTTTCTCTGCTCGGTGCCTCTTTGTAACTCTAGCTTTTCTATAATGATATGCATGAATTTTTTTCAGAAAAATTCAAATATGACAATAATTAGAGTGATCCTAATGCTTATGAGCCAAGTCAAAATCATCAGAGTTTTAATTCCAGATGGTGATAATCCAACTGAAATAAGTCCCTAAAGAGAAGCAAGCTTAAATTTTTTAACTTTCAGAGCTAGAAATGAAAAGTTCTTAAGAACCTAATTAGTGTTTTTAAATAAGTTTATTGGGTTAAAAAAAATCCTATTAGTTCAAGGTCCATGGGCAGTGTCATCCACACCACCAAATTAGGTGCACTGATATTGAGATGGCAACTTGTCTGTGGCATGGTAGCTAAACAATGGGGTTTAGCTCATCTGTTTCTGCCTATTTGACCTTAGAAAATCACATTACCTCTCTTAAACTTACCTACCACAGCCAGGAAACTATGCGGTTGAGTTTGATTCTATCAATAGTTTCTCCATCTACCATCCCCAAATTAAGTTTTGTGTTGGAGCAGGAGTGGTAGTTACTATTTTGGGATGCACAAGTAGGATCTAGATTTCATCATAACAGTGGGGATTTCGTAGAGGTAAGGTGTGATCATTTGTCTGAGGGTCCCCACAGACCCTCAATACTGAACAAGCACTGTGACCCACTGATGCATATTTGCTATATCGTACAATCTTCCCTGACGATGGTGGTGGTGGGTTCTGTCCATATCCAGAATCTTTTAATAATGGGACAATTAAGAAAGACTTGCCATTAAGTATTTCTGTTTCTTTCCTTCCAGTGCCCTAGCTCAACAAAAGTAGTGATTGGCAGCAAATTGAGAAGACAATGTAATGAGATCTCTGAATATTAACTCGGTTGCTGGTTTGCCAATGTCCTAAGAGCCACACTGAGAGTGAGTAGGGCTGCCAGGGAGGTGTGTGTTTGCAACCATGCTCACTTCTTGCTCCTGTCCAAATCATTCTTAACAGAGAACTTCGACAGAAACCTCTGAATAAAGGTCAGTGTCCGTCACTGCCACAGCAGCTTCAAGGCCCCGGAGAACAGGTCGAGCAAGCAGGTGCCTGCCAAATGGAGACTCTGCGCTGCTTCAGCAATATGCTTCATCTTTATGGTGGCAGAGGCGGTCGGTAAGTGCTGCCCAGGAAAATTCGGACAAAACCCTGTATCATACTGGGAAGGACAACTGAGTTGTTCTTTAAAAGAAATAGTTAATGTTTTTGGCGTGTATTGAATGACAGTAAGCATAGAGCAGTCAAGTTGGAAAACTAAAGAAAAATAAAATCTATTAATATGTCACGTTCAAAGGATTACCTCTAATAACACCATGGTATTTGCTGTAGTTCGTCTTCCATTATAGCTCAGGGGGTTTTTCTTTTACATAACTGGGACCATGTTGAATGCTCTTCTCAGTTCCATCAAATATTATTTAAAATATGTTTATGTCCAAGTAATGCATTCCACAGTAAAGCACAAAAGGATTTCTCTGTTGTCAGACCCTTGGGGAGATTTCTTCCTATTTCTGGGCTATACAATGAAGAAAACCTTAATAAAATTCTGCCTACCTTCTAGTTAATCCCTTGAAATGGATTCTAAAAATGGAAATAATAGAAACAATTGGTTGAAAGACATGAATATTTTCTTACTTCTTGTACCATTCTGTTAAACCTATATATCCAGACACTTGAAATGATTCATCTGTATGGAAGCTCTTCATGAAAACGATTTTTCCACCCAGCTCTTTAAAACTATCTTTGTTGGGACTGGAGATTTCTCAGTGGTTAAGAGTGCCTTCTGTTCTTTCAAAGGACCTGAGTTCAGTTCCCAGCACCCATGTTGGACAACTCACAACTACCTGTAAACACGGCTGTAGAGGGTCTAACACCTTGTTCTGGCCTACACACACACACACACACACACACACACCATGTACACATATCTCTGTTGATGTAAATATGAGTGCTTTAGTATTCGTTGTTTCCATTATTAGAATATTTCATATACTTATTAGTGGGATGTGACTACCCCTGCTATGCCTCACTTTCTTCCCCCTGTTGTCTTCTTAGTTGAGAACTTTGCAAATTATTTTATTGATATCTGAGAGCTCCTTATATATTGGGATGTTAAGTCTGGACTACATTGTACATAGCTAAGATTTTAGTTTATTGCTTGCCTTTTAATTTGTGTTTTGACTTGAGAAGCTTTAAATTTTCTACAGGCAATGTAGGTCTGAAATAGAGGTGACTATGAAACGTTCAGTCTGAGCTCATTTTTTTGAACTTGGTAATCTCCACCCATGAGAGAATAAATACTTTTTTTATGCTTCTTTGTTCAATTTTTGTATGCAACATTTATATCAATGTAAAATTAGGTCTTTTGCATTCTACAAGAACTAAAATCCCCTTTCTAAACAGCTAAAAAAGTTTCCAGCATTGGATATTCAATATGTTCTTGTCAGGAATTAACCTTTTAGAAGTACCAAAGTGTGTTTCTAAGGTTGAGTTCCTGTTCTCTGGCAGTAACTTAATTAATTGTAGATTTAAATATTACAGTATCTGTTTTCTTCTCTCTATTTAGCAGAAATGTATAAAGGTTATTCATTTCTGTTTTTTTTAAATTAAACACAATATTAATTCTGTTCTCACCCAATCTAATTATGATTTGATTGGCATGTGAGTTAATAGAAAAATATAAATATGTATTAATAATTGAAATTGAGCTGTTGGTTTGTGTTTTGGTGTTTTCCTACTTTTTTTTTTCAGTCACAATTGAGCATGCTCATATGGAAAGCTGAGTTTTTAAAAATTTCATTTTAATAAACAAGCTGTATGACTTGCAATTGTCTCTTCCTTTTCAGAGAGCATTCTGGGTATATAGTTCTAGAGAACTTTTTATATACTCTTTTGATATGTATTTTATTTTTTTCTCATTTGTTGGTAATATAAAAATTTCCACTTAGGTACTTTTTTCTCTTCTCTGTATTTTTCTAAAACCAATCATCTGATGAAAAATTTCAAAATTATTGTCATACAATGGGATATGATGGCTTTTTATTTGAGTTATTCATCTTGAAGGTTTTTGAAATACAGTGCTATCTTATTTTCCTCCAAATATGTAAAAGAATACTGTAGGGTACCTATACATAGGACACTGTTACCTTTGCAATCTGGTTACCTCTGCTCCCTGTCTCACTGTTACCAATTTCTTAGGGGTTTTCTATTCATCTCCATTACCCAAAGAAAAATCTAAATGAGTAAGAAGCAGGAGACTAAAGGAAAATAGGCTCCAACTAGATTCTTTGTACACTGTATTTTCTAGCTACTAGAATAAGCTGTGTTTCTGCTAGCTGTGTTTCTTCTTGTATTTAGACTTGTACAGTTGCTGAAAATCTGGTAAAGCCCTAGATCTATTGAATCCAAAACAACCACAGATTTGATACACAGCATTTTAGTCAAAATTTATAAAGAGAGTCATTATCACACAATTTCTATACCAAGTGCTCTGTCTTTAGAGGAAAGAGATTGAAGGTTTGATGGAGTTGCAAAGTAATTTGCTGTAGGCAATAGGCAGTTCCAATCTAGAGCATCCTCTTGAAATCCACCAGCACCTCACAAAAATGCATGCATGCACATGCACACAGGTGTGCACACAGATAACATACAGACACACACACCCACACATTCACATCCATGTTTATTTAAATAGATGACGCAGTCTACAAATAGGAAATTTCACTCCTTCCTTTCCTATTGGGACGCTTTCTATTCCTTTGTCTTGTTGATTTGCTCTGGTTAAGGCCTCCGGAGCATGGCTAAGGTGAGTTCCTTGGTTTGCTCCTGACCTCCCAGGAAGGGCTTTCCCTTTTCCGCCTTGTGTAGCATGAAACTGTGACAATTGGAACTTTATTTTGTTAGCTGCATGTCTACTATTCCTTATTTGATATTTGCCATTTTGTTTCAAAATGTTTCATGTGAGGCAGGCGTGGGGAGCTATCAACACAGTCCTCCTTTCCCTCTTATTTCTATGTGTCCAACGGTGCCGGGTCTACTCTCAGAAGTGATTTAGTCAGTAAAGGAACGTAATGGATACTGACTGATACTTGCCCGAGTTTTAAGCTGTATCAATATCAAGCTGGTTGTTCCAAACATGGCTCTTACCATGCTACATCCGTCTTTAAAATTCTTTAGCTTATTTGTTTTGCTTGAAATGCTGACGAACTTGGGGCTAAACTGACAAGATCATGTGCAGCTGGAAGGGACTAGTTCAGAAATCACTTCTATGCTCGACTCCACTCTGCTCTCCCAAATGAAGAGTGATCAATATTTTGGAAGTTTCTGATACCCAGAACAAAAGAAAAGACAGTTCTTTCTTTGGATTTTCAGATAGTCCACCATCATTCTGCCATGTAAATTATTAATACCTGTCCTCTCGACACATCCTTACAGAAATATTGAGTTCTGACTCAGAGATTATTCATTCTCTGCAAAATAATCCTTATGCTTTAGGGTCCCGGTAGCTTCTGTCCTTTTATTTAAATACAAAAGTCTTCTCTTTGTTCCATTTACTAGGCACCATAACTGCAAGCCTGGTCCTCTTGGCCTGAGGACCTGCTACTCACAGTCTCTGGTCTTTATATAAAGAGGCTGGATAAAAACTTGCTGCAGAAATATCAGTGTGGAATGATGGTAGTCCCAGAGCTCCCAAAGCCCCGCCTGTATCTTATCCGCCTTCAATAATCTGCCTTAGTAATATCTTTTGATCCTTAGACTTAGGACATGCCTGCTCAATTATGCCCACATTCCCTTTCATTTATACGAGCCAATAACTTAAAATCTTTCTGTTGTTTAAGCTAATTTAGATTAAGCTTTTATGACTTAGACCTGAAAGAGAATTCCTAAAGCAGATTTTGTCAAGGACACAGCTTGAATGGTAATGGGGGCTCAGCTGGGGAACCAGGTCCTTTTGTAGAGCTTGCGTTGTAACTCGTATTTAGAACAGGAGAGAGTCAGGCCGTTGGGCTGTGTTTAGGGAGATCACTGCCACAGTGTTCCCAGCAGAGTGGTGGAAGAACTAAGGAGTGAAGGAGATAGGTACAATTTGCCCACTCTTGGGCCTTTGGAGCTGTCAAACGGGGGCTACTTTTGACAGCTTGTAAGAATTCTTCTTTGTGGATGGCTATAAATAAATGGGGGTTTATACTGCAGATGTGAACACTGTCTATTTGGAAAGATGGAATGCAGATACGGAGAACTCCGGAAAATAAGCTCAAGTGTGTCATTGCTGGAAGCAATTGATAGTAGGCAGGGAGAGACATCTGAGATACCACATTCAGGGTTACATAAATATGGGAGAGATGATACTGCCTGGCTGTGACGCAGAGCTGCAGCAGGCTGAAGAGGATACAAGTCTGAGAGTGCGAACCTTCTGTCTCACTAAGAGAAAGACGTAGCGGTAACGTGTGATACCCACATGTTTGATTATTGGCTTTTTACTTGCTTAGTCTGTAGTTACTGTAGTGACCCAGGTCACAAATATTCTTGATTTAAAACCTTTACCCTTTGAGAGAACTGATGGGGAATGTCCTTCTGTGTATGTTTATCCTATTGGTTGTTGAAAAACGTACTCTTGGACTATGAAGAAGCAAGTTAGGTGGGACTAGGAGTCAAGGAGGATTCTGGGAAATGTAGTAAAGATATCCAGGCAGGAAGTGACATAGCAGGCAGACTCATATATAAGCAGGGACAAACAGAAAGTCACTCTCTTCTTGCTCTTGCTCCCTCTCCTGCTCTCTGCTCTGAAGTCACCACGTGACTACCAGAGAGACAGGACGCATTCCGAGGGTGTCCACCATAAGAAAAGGTTATGGTTATGGCTGATAATTAAGACTGAGCTAGCAGATAAGAAATCCTGGTCATTGGCCAAGCAGCATTTGAAACTAATATAAATCTCTCTGTGTTATTTGGGGCCCTAACTTGGCAGGCAGAACTTGGGTGGCTGGCGGAAAGCTTCCACGTGGCAGCAGGACTCGGGAGGCTTTGGTATAAAGACTTATTGTTACAGAGAACTTTATATATGAGCACAAAATCTACCTCTCACTGGCCCCTCCGTTTCTCCATCCAACTCCTCCTGTGCCTGCCACCCCAATTCAGGTCACAGATATTTCTTGAGGTTCCTGCTGTTAGGACAATCATAAAACAGGGCCATGAAAATGGTGATATGGTTTAAGAACTTGCTAAATAATAACTGGAGGTTTTGACACATCAAATTAAACAGTACAGTATGATAAAATGCCACCAATCTGATAGGTGGCATAGGAATTAAAAGCAATTCATAAATGCTGCAGCCCAGTAATTGATGCAAGGCTGTCTTGGCTACTTTTCTTTAGCTAGACAGGACACCATGGCCAAGGCAATTTGAAGAAGAATGAGTTCACTTGGAGCCGACACTTTCAGAGTGTTCTAATCCATGATCATCATAGAAAAAAGTATGGCATCAGGCAACGCTGGAGCAGTAATTGAGAGTTCATATCTTGAGGGTAGAGAGAGCTAACCGGGAATGCTGTAGGCATTTGAAACCTCAAAGCCCACCTCCAATGACACACCTCTTCCAACAAAACCACACCTCCTAATCCTTCCCTAACAGTTCCACCAGCCGGGGACCAAACAGTCAAATATATGAACCTGTTAGGGCCGTTCTCATTCTAACCCTCACACAAGCTAATATCACCAGGTGAGCCGTTATTTTCTCAGCACTGTCCATGTACCTCTTCTTCCATGGAAAATGCATGGGAATTTCAACTGTTTAAATCCGAGGGGTTCTGTGCCCAGGAGATGCAGGCCTAGTATTCTACTGTTGCCTTCCGTGCATGGGGCTCAGGTGATCTGTTTCCAGGGCTGAGCTCTCTCTCTGTGCCTCGGTTGCCCTGGTCTAAGCTCATTCTGCATCTATCTTGCTAGAAATAGAACTGTCAACACTCACTCTGCTTCGCACATTCGCCATGGTTCCCTCCAGCGATTACTGCTGTGGGGTTTTAAAACTTAGCATACAAAGTATTAAGTTGCATTTTGGTATTCTGAAACATTTCTGTCGTTGACTCTTCTGTCTCCTCTTCTCCATCCTGGTCCTGTTCCCCACATAAACCCTTCTACCTCTACATCATCCTCTCAGCCTTCTTGTCTTGTGTTGTGTAACCCTAACCCTAACCCTAACCCTAACCCTAAACCCTAACCCTAACCCTAACCCTAACCCCTAACCCCTAACCCTAACCCTAACCCTAACCCTAACCCCTGATCCTGACCCTGACCCTGACCCTGACCCTGACCCTGACCCTGACCCTAACCCTAACCCTAACCCTAACCCTCTTCTCCTTCCTCAATACTCTTTTTCATTCATCTCATGGTCTGCTTTCTAGTTCCATAGCTTGTGCACATTCACATCCATTTTTATAGACAGACAGACATGCACGCGTGTACACACACACACTAAAGCAAGGATCCGCGTATGAGAAAGATCATGTGACATTTGTCTTTCTGAGTCACCACATACAATGGCTCCAGATCCATATGTATCAACCACCAGCCTCATCTCCCTCCAAGTCAGCCTCTATACTGGTGCCAAAGATCGCTCTCAAACCCAAATAGAAACATGCCTCAGCCTTGCCTGAAAATCCTAAGGAGATTTCCTTGGCCTATAGGCCAATGTTCAATTTCCCTGGTTTTTCATGGAATACCTCTTCAATGGTCTTTACTCCATCATTGTGGTCTCATTTCCCAGCTGTCTCCAGTCCTCCATTGCAGTCTCATTTCCCATCGTCCTCTGGTGCCTGCCACCTATTTTTACAGAAAAGTGGCACTTTATTTGACTTCTTTTTCTGTGTTCCTGTTTATTCACGAAAGCCCAGCATTTTCTGGTTAATTCTCAGCACTTCTTTGAAGAGTCCCTGAATACCCAGGGTTCTCTGTCTCCATTCCAGTAGCAAGTCTTCAGTGCTGTGTTAGGAGAACACCGAGGAAAAACATTGTAATTTGTTTATCTTTGTGTACTTGCCCAAGCTACCACGCACAGCAAGGGCTCAATAAATGCTGGCTGGATAGTTGAATTAATGGTCAATAATGCCCCACGCTTTCAGAAACAAATGCACATGCTTCCTTTTGCAAACAGTTTGCTCTGTAGCACTCAGCAGTGCCCACAGTTTTCTGGATAGTTCTTATTGCCGGCTGTGATGGCTGGAAAATGATTGTGGGGGTCTTGGGTCTCCACATGAACACGCTCCTTCTAAAACCTGCCCCCTTCCTTCTCTGTTGCCTCCTGACCCTCCCAGCCTGCTGAGGAATTCCTCCAAGACTTTCTTCCTTTGACTTAGTGGGCAATTTCAGCATGGCGAGTAGAATCCTCATCATTCATGGCTGAATTGCTGCACGCTGCTTATCTGCATGTAGTCATTCTCCAGGCAAGAAATAATGCATTATTAACACAGCTTTATTATCACGACCGAGGACGGCGGATAGAGGAACATTAGAGGATAATTGGAAGGACAGCTGATTTGTTAGCAAAATGTTGCCTTTTGGCTAATGAATCATTCCGATTTTTGCACCGACAGCTCAGTAACAAGCTCGAAGACTACTTTGCTTCAGACCATTACACTTTGACAAACCAGTTATTAAGTACAGCTCGAGCCCCCGTCTGTGGGGATTATTGCAATTACGAGCCATCCATGTAATTTTTTTTAGAGGTGAGTCTGATGACTGACAGCCTCTGTCGCTTTCTCGTCCACCAGGCAATAAACAGCTGCAGGACCGACTCATCAGTCAGCACACGCAAAGCTCTTTGCGGGGAAGAGTTGGTCAGAGTAATAAAGGTTATTGCTCTCAGACAACAAGCCCTGCTGGGGAAGGAAAGGACACAATTTTCCTTTCATTTCTCTTCTGGAGACTGGAGGTCTTTTCAAAGGAGAGACAGAGGGAAGAAAACAGGGATGTCACAAATACCCAGAAAAGCAAGCTGGGCTCACACGCCTGCGGGGTTCTATTCTATGCTTTGACACAATGTTTGCACTTGGCCGGTCCTCGGCCCCATGCCCCCATTTGTCCTTTTCTGCTCTGCTCTCCCGATGTTTCTAGCAAGAATCTCCAGTGCAGTTAGGTAGCATAATTCAGCAGAAGCCGCCAGACTATGGTAAAATTGTAAATAGATAACAGATCTGTAGGCTGATGTAACACTGTCTTCCAGCAAGAAGTTCAAGCCTACTGCCTGGATTATGAGACCCCGTGAATCTAGCCAACACCTCCACAGCCGAATGTACCTGTAGGCTTATTCCCGAGGCTTCCGGCCTAGCCTAGTTAAAATGCTGTCCCTATTTGCCTCATAATTCCTGTCTCCATGTTTCCACAGCCTCAGAAATGGCTCCCTTAACATTCAGTTTTATTTGCTTCTAGGGTCTCAGTTATTTTTCAAGTTGAGAGGAAGGGGTGGATTCATTTGACTTGGATAACTTTTGTTCTATGGCGTTCTGGACCTTCAGCCCTGTGTGATATTGTGCATCTCACAGGTGGACACGTTGCTGGGAGTCTTGCCGTCCTCACCGATGCTGCTCACCTCTTAATTGACCTGGCCAGTTTCCTGCTCAGTCTCTTTTCTCTATGGTTGTCGTCGCAGCCTCCCTCCAAGCGGCTGACCTTTGGGTGGTACCGTGCAGGTAACGGTCTACGATTGCCCAATAATGAATGCATACTGACACACACTCAAGCTGAGGGTTCAAAACAGGGCAAGGTAAAGAGCAAAGCCTTGTTCAAAAATTCCCTCTGGGCCACAGGTTTGGTGCTCAGGATAAAATAACCCTGTGGGAATATGTGCTCTCAACATGAGGTCAGCTGACAGCGAGATTAACGGAAGCACCTCCTCCCCGGTGGGACAAGAATATGTGTATCCTGATAGCAGCTATGCCATCCCCAGGGTCTCTGTGGAGCAACAACTAGGAAATGTTCTTTCATTTACTCCGTATCCTTGAGAGAGATGGTGAAGGCAAAGCTTCTGCCTCGTTAGAAACTAAAGCCCCAGAGTCCAAGACAGTGGTGGTACTGAAGGATTTCTCCTCAGGGAGTCAGGCACGAGATACTGGCTGTCCCACTGGCACACAGCGTTTCGCCATTGCTATGGCTGCAATGCTGCTTTTGGATCTCCTGTTGGAATGTAATGATTATTGGCATGGTGCTGAGATGGGACCCCATGAAGTCATGAGGGCAGTGCTCTCGTTAGTGGGTCAAGGTTGTTATCGTTGGAATCCTGATAGGAAAGATGAAGTCATTATAATTTCTTCCCCTTGTCTCGCACACACTTGCTCGATTTTCTATCATGCTACCATGGGGCTCAGAAATGTTTGTCAGCTTCAAGAACCTTGGTCTGGTACTTCCCGGCACCCAGGACTGTGAGCAAAAAACCAAACCAAAACAAGAAACCTTTCATTATAAATCACCTAGCCTGTAGTATTTTGTTACAGCAGCAGAAAATGCACCAAGACAGCCATTCAGGGCATACCTGGCTCAGCTGAATACCTGTTCACTTAATCACCACCGACAAAGTAAAAGCAAATGCTGACTGTGAGAAAGAAGAGAAGGAATAAAATCCACCCCTTCCTCCTTTCTCAGAGCTGCTGCTTGCACTGAGTGACTCCTTGCCCTTGCTCTGCAAACTATTCATCATGGGTTTTCTTTACAGCACCCTCTCACCCATCCACACACACTGCAGCTCTATGTCCCCTGTCTGCTGGAGGAGTTTATATATTAGCTGCAGGAGTTGCTGTTGGAGTGTTTTGTGCCAGTCTTAGAAATACATAGCTGCAGCTCTGTGATTTCACACTGGCTCAGAAGTCAAGGCAAATGCATGGGTAGCCCTCACGGTCAGCCTTCCCAGTGAAAGACGTCAGTGGCTGCAAACCGGAGCTTGTTCCTGACAATGTGAGCTCTAGGTTTTTGAGGTTAGAATACTAAGGTCTATGAACTAAGCAGTTTAACAGTGCGGGTGTTCTGGATTGGCTTCCCTTCATCGTTCAGAGAGAAACAAATAGCAACGCAAAGTTGGTGAGAGAGAGAGTTTAGAGAACTGGCCCCGTGCACTTGGAAGCCATGTGAGCTTGCTTGAGCTCTCAGCATTTGTCAGCACAAATTTTTACACGTGCTCAACACTTTCTGGTATTGTTAGAACAGTTTTGTTCCTCTAGAATGTTTTCTTTTTACGAGAAAGTAGACTCAGAATGTTCCATCATTGTTTAGATCAGTGCTTCTCAACCTGTGGTTCCCCACCCTTTGGGGGCATTGAGCAACCCTTTCACGGGGATCACATAACAGATACCCTGCAAAACAGGTATTGACATTGCAGTAGAAAATTTACAGCTATGAAGTAGCAATGAAAATAATTTTATGGCTTGGGGTCACCATGGCATAAGGAACTGTGTTAAAGGGTCCCAGCATTATGAAGGTTAAGAACCACTGGCTTAGACTGTGTCCCCTTGACCATGAAAATTTATGACCCTTAATATCCTAAAAGACAAAGATTGTTCAATAAAACGCTCCACTATTAGGTAAAACATTTTGAGATATAGTTAATGATATAAATATTGAGAACTTTAAATGGGACCAGTATGGTATAATAATATTTTTGATTTTATCTGATTTCTAGTTAAATGGCTGCACAGGTGGTTACCATGTAA